AGAGTCAGACTCCAAGCGGGACACAGTGCTCTGTAACTAGAGCCAGGTTTCTCCCAGGCTGGGGTGGCACGCTTGGTTTGTGCTGGGCACCGTGGAGATGCTTGTAGGGGTGGCTTGGGACCGCTATCCCTCACTTCATCCGCTTTATGGTCCCATTCAGGTGCCTGAACTTTTAACCTGTGCCTGTGACTTATGAAGCTAGCAGCTTTTTTGTTTTGTTCAGCCTTCAAAGGAAAATACTCAGAGAGGAGTCGCTGGCAGATAGGCCCGGTCCTCTCAGATGTCCCCTCTCCTGCCCTGATACGCTGCTTACGCACGGGGCATAGAATTTGTGTCCTGCTGTTTTTCACTGACCATTGTATGATGGGATTTTTTCCATCTTGCTACATGATCTTATTATTTTTAATAATTGCATAATAGTTCATGGAGCGGATGACCCAGCTTTTCCAGACTGTTCCATACTAGACTGTTCCCATGGTCGTGACTATTTAAAGTACCCCAGTAATGGATGGCTTCCGTTGTGGCACCTTTCCTTGCTTTTGGATTATTTCCTTATAATACATTGCCAGAAGTGAAATGACAGAGTTCAGCAGGGCATAAACCTCTCAGTGGCCTTGGACACTAATGTTAATTGCCTTTTGTCAAAACTGAAATGTAGTCTCCTGGGCCACAGACAAAGGGACTGGCATGTTTGCCTGACTGACATGTTTAGCCTTTAGTGTTGTAAAGACTTTGAATTTTATTTTTCTCTCTGTGGTGATGGAGAAACCCAGGGTCTTAGTGCTACCTTGAGTATACACACCTTGGGCACCTCTGCAGGCCCTAACACTCCTTGTGTTGTGTTTCGTGTTTAAAGTTGGGGAGAGAGAGAGGTTCCATGAAGTTACTGTCTGCCCACATACATGCTGTGGCACTTGCAGTCCCCCAGTCTCACACCCCCATATCTGTCTTACACACACACACACACACACACACACACACACAGATAGCTTCGCAATCTCTACACACACTCTTACACAGTCTCGTTCACACATGATCTCCAACAGACATACACTCTCACACATACACTCACAGTTTCTTTTCTCTCTCACACACACTCTTTCTCACACACACACACACACAAACACACTCCCCTTTCTCATACACACAGTGTCTAACACAGTTATACACATACACACTCTCACACAATCTCTCACTCACACATACTCTTTCTCTCTCACATACACTCTTTCTCATACAATCTTTCAGACATTCTCTCACACCCAAAACCCATCCCCATAGTGACACCCTTCCTCCAACAAGGCCACGCCCACTCCAGGAAGGCCGCCCCCCCCCCCCAACAGTGCCGCTCCCTATGGGCCAAGCATCAAACACTTTAGTCCATTCCTATTCCAACCACTACACTTGGGTTCTTGGGACAGAACTCTGGTGTGCCTTAATTTCCTTCCTTCCTTCCTTCCTTCCTTCCTTCCTTCCTTCCTTCCTTCCTTCCTTCCTTCCTTCCTTCCTTCTTTCCTTCCTTTCTTCCTTCCTTCCCTCCCTCCTTCCTTCCTTCCTTCTTTGAGAAAGAATCTCCTCATGTAACGCAGGCTGGCTTGGACCTCACCAGGCAGCCCAGTCTCCTCCAGCTTCAGCTTCCTGAGTGTTATGCGCAGCTCAGAAACTTTTCTTTTAAAAAAAACATTTTCAAAAAAGTCAGGCGCCAAGGGGCCTTTCGAATGGCCATTGAATGTCTTGCATTTCCCTCTGTGAAGGGCTGTCTCTAAAATTAAAATAATTAGCCTTTGGGAGGCAGAGGTAGGCAGATCTTTATTAAGTCTGAGGCCAGCCCGATCTAAATAGTAAACTACAGGCCGACTAGGGCTGCGTAGTAAGGCCCCGTCTCAGACAGACAAACACAATACACAAATGCGTGACCCCTGGCAGTCACTCACATTGCTTTTGTTCCTGGACACTTCTGTCCTGGGCTGAGGGATAGAGCAGGAGAGGATACAGAGGTGGCATGGTAACACCATGACTTGATAACAGTACTTTCCATGTGTGTAATCCTCTCTAGGCTTGGCTACTTACTATAGATTTGATACAGGCGTATTAGTTAATGACAATATTCTGACATTGGTGCATGTAGATAACCATTTTATTTTACTTTCTCTGTAGCCCTGGCTGTCCTTGAACTTTCTGTAGAGCAGGCTGACCTCAAACCCAGAAATCTCTCTGCCTCTCAGGCATGTGCCATCACTGCCCACACCCTCCCCCACTTTCCCACTTTTTTTTTTGAGAGATATCTCTCATTTATTTTTATTTTATGTGCCATGGCTGTTGGTCTGCACGTATTGTGTGCACAGGGTTTTAGGGCCGCTGGAACTGGGGTCACAGTTGTGAGCTGCCATGTGGGTTCCTGGACTTGAGCCCTGGTCGTCTGAAAGAGTAGCCAGTGCTCTACCGTATCTGTTTCATAGATGAGAAAGCAGGCAGAAGGGGCTCGATGCCGGCCTTCCCGGTTTGCCCTCCAGCCACGTCTCTTCCCCGCCTTTCTCAGATCTTCCCAGCTCAGGGGCTTCTCCTGACCTGGCCCTGGTGCCTCTTCTTGGAAAATCCTTTCCTCACTAATACCAGGAGGAAAGGCCCAGGGTGGTCGCAGAGATGCTCCTCCTGTAAATTGTCCTTTGACCCCCACATGCATTTGCATACGTGTGTACACGTACACACACACACATCACTAAGTGTTGTGTGTGAAGAGAGTAGCTTCCCCTTCAGAATGCTCACACAGCAAGGCATGGTGCTGCCATGATTACAGAGATGATCTCCTGAGCCTGGTCTAAGCCGGGTGACCAGTATGCAGAGGCCACTGCACCCTAGGGGACCCACCCAGAACTTTGGAATTCAGCCCATCCCCACCAGGCAGGCTGATCTAGGTCCTATCCCAGAAGCCTTTGGCCTCTGTGACTCCTCTTTTGCCCCCTCCCCCTACCACTTATGCTGTCCAGGCAGCTGAGTTGCTTGCTGGCTAGCCTTGTGTCCTGGCTCCTGGGAGCTACAGACCCCAGCCCTAGCAAGGGCTTTGTTAATGACTTTCCTTTCGGAGAGCCTTGGTGCAGCGAGCTCACTGCCGCCCCAGCTAGCTGTCCGGGCAATCCAAGCACACTATGAATTTCTCAGAAGTAACGCTTGCTTCAGAGAAACAAGACACAGCCAGAAGCTAGCGTGGGATTGATGAAAAGTCAGATGTGACAGAAATTGCTCTACAGAAGCTGTTGCTTTTGTGTCACTCGGCCTTAAATGTGCTTGTAATGGAGTTTCTGGAATTAAGATCTGAAGTGACTCAGAGTTACAAGTGACACGTTATCTGTGGCCTCCAGCTGCTTGACACCATTATTGCAGTTATTTCAGCGATTTCGCAAGAATCTGTACAAAATTTTAAACATCTGGAGCAGGCATGTTGGCACACGCCTTTAATCCCAGCACTAGGGAGGCAGAGGCATGGGGATCTCTGAGTTCAAGGCTAGCCTGGGCTACAAAGTGAGTTCCAGGACAACCAGGGCTACACAGAAAAATCCTGTCTCAAACAACATCAACAACAACAACAACAAAAAAAAAACAAAAAACAAAAAACAAACAAAAAAAACAAAACAGAAGCAAAACAAACAAAAAACAAACAACACAAAACAAACAATTTGGTATCTCAATGACTTGTGAAGCTTGCTCCCTTTGCCACCCCTGTTTCTTCCTGTCATGTATTACTACCAGCTTTAGTTGTTATGCTTGTCATAGTTAAATGAAATTTTGAGTAGAGGGATTTCCCTTCTTCTTTTCTTTTCTCATTCTTACTTTTGAGTTTGGGTGTTGCTAAGTTGCAAAGATTGGCCTTTCACTAACTGCATCTCTGTGTCTCCCTCTGTCCTTTCTCTCCAGGGTCTCATTTATAGTCCCGGGCTTTGTTGCCCAGCCGTGCCTTGGACAGTCAAGTTCCTGCTTAGTGCTGGGGTTGCAAGCATTCACGTCCAGTGCTGGCTGCAGATCTTAGACTCCCTGGTCTCCTCCTCAGCTTCCTGAGTAACTCGGAGCACAGACTGTGCCCCCAGGCCAGCTGCTCCCGGGCTTTTGTCATCTTGAGTTTTTTGCTGGAAAAGAGAGAGGGGGACCAGTGGACGGTTGGGTTTGGTCACGTGACCCAGGCAGTTAGGCTTCTCTCCTAGAGCACTGCCTTCCACTCCACCCGGGTGTGTGAGGAGGGCTGGAGAGCAGCGCAGGTCCTGCTTGAGAAAGGACTTTCTCCGTTGGACCGCCACTGTGTCCTAGCCACACAGCATCCCAACACGCCCCCATTTGACATAGCTGCAGCCGGTGCCCAGGGTTTGTTTGGAAATGGTCAGGACATCAGTGTGGCTGTTGGAAGAATTTAAGGGTGGTGTTCCCAAAAATATTTGAGAAGTTCTAAGGAATCCTAACCTGCTCCAAACAAGTAGCCGGTATGGAACAGAGCCCTGAGAGCTTGGCAGAACTTAGATTTGTGAAGAAAAAGGTGTGACGAGAGGGTACATGGCTGGAGTTTTGAGGAAATCTTTCAAATGTGATTGGTCCCCTACTATAGTTTGAGCAGACTCTGATTATTTGATCTTTTTGGTGTGTGCATAGATGCTCTGGAAGCATTTAATCTGGCCCCACGGGGCTTTACCTCTCCAGCATGGTTTGTTTTTGCTGTCAGCTCTTAACTTTGACCCAGTGGAGTCTTTCAGGACCCCTTCCTCCATCTGTGTTCGCATCTTGCTGGGTGCTCCCTGAGTTCTGAAGATTCTTCTAAAAGTGCAGCCAGGAACAGGTGGATGGCTCTGCTGGCACAGGGGATGCCCCTTGCTTTGGGCAAGGCAGAGGGAGGCTGGCTCTATTTCTTCCTCCTGACTTGTTCTCAGACAATGATGGCCTTAGCTTTGCCGACTAGTATCTTTTGTTCCCGGATGTTGAGGCAGCTAACCACCTCCTTTTCTGTTCCCTTCTAACAGGGGGGCCCTTCGGTGATGTCTGCAGTGGGCGAAAGCACCAACCCCGAGAACAGTGACCTCAAGTATTCAGGTCAAGATGGCCTCTACATAGGCGTCAGTCTGTCCTCCCCCGCCGAAGTCACATCCTCTGTGCGACAGGATTCATCTTGGTGTGCCCTGGCCTTGGCCTGAGCTGGTGCTGCCAAGAGGCCAGGGGCTCTGTGGGCCTCAGACCACTTGTATCTGATTCTGTCCAGCAGTCCAGATGGCAACAAAAACGCAGACATGACATTCCTTCGATGCGTGATTCTGTGCCTTTGTTCTGAAAGAGATATATATCCCAAGAAGCTTTACTGAAGTAAGAAGAGATGGGCTTTTTTGCAGGCAGGTGGCCTGTTCCCGCCAGCCTGGGCCCTTTCCCGTCAGCCTGCTTGAGGATCTGCCCCACACCAGTGGGAGAAACTGTGGCAGTGACTGGGGCCTTGTCTGCCAAGGAAGACTGAGAGATTTAAAAAAAAAAAATGTTTTATGCATTTTGACCCAAATCATGGGCTTCTTGTGATCAACCTTGGTTATCCCAGAGTTTCTTCAAACCTGGTGGATCTTTGTGCACATTTCACAAGCATTCGCGGAGAGGCTCATTGGAAGCCATTTGGACCATCGTGGAGGCCGCGTGCGTTGCTGGGGTCTCGACAAGAATATATTAGTCTGCAAGATCGCATTATGACAGACACTGACTTTTCTCAACGTTCGTTGTGCCGTGGCTCATCTGAGGTCACTCGGAATTTGTAAACAGGGTAGCAAACAAGATATTTTTCTTCCATGTACACAATAATTTTTTTAAGTGCAATTTGCGTTGCAGCAATCAGTGTTAAATCATTTGCATAAGATTTAACAGCATTTTTATAATGAATGTAAACATTTTAACTTAATGGTACTTAAAATAATTTAAAAAAAAATGTTAACTTAGACATATGCTTCTTATACCCACAAGCCCATTTCTGTATTTCCAATTGTTTAAAAAAAAAAAAAAGATTTCAAGAACAAATCTTCTCTCAGGAAAATTGCCTTTTGTCCATTTATGAATTTTTATACAAGAACACCAACACAGCCCCCTTTCTTTTACTGAGGAAAAAGTGCTGGAAATTGCAACAAACCTTTACTACCTAAAGAATAGCATTTGTAAATACTCTGAGCATCTGTAAACACTCTTGAGGTCTGTACCGTGTGACTAACCCACAGGTTGGTTTACATTATTATTTTTTTTAATGGGGTGTCGTATGGAAACCTATTTCACCAGAGTTTTAAAAAAATAAAAGGGTATTGTTTTGTGTTGTGTACAGTGAGCTCCTTTCCTTTTTTATCTTACTTTGCTCTGTGCATGACCATATATTGTTACACAAAACAAGTGCACGTGGCGTCTGCAACTTGCTTTGAGACCTTTATTGGAAAGACTTGTCCTTTGGAGCTACGGTGCACCTCGGTTTATTTGAAATTGGCAGGTGGTGTGGGTTGGCACTTCCTGTTTGGGTTAATGGCTTGTCTGAGATGATGAGCATTCTGTCTGGAATCACTGCTTGAAAACATCCACATCTGTTTAGAAGTTCCTTGTGAGTGAATATCAGGGTGCTCTCTATTCCTCCCTTCTGCAGAGGGCCGCAAAGTCTCAGAGCACATTTGAGGCTGCAGGTGTGTGACTCCCATCAGACAATCCTCTGGGCGAACTTTAGGAAGTTAGGAGGCTGTTGGACAACTTGAAATGGTGCCATTTAACTTTGGCTCTTCGAATCTCTGGCATTTTGAACTTCTTAAACTTATGGCAGATATTCTATAGCAGTTAGTTGAGTCTTTAAGAAAGAGTAGCCCTTGGTGGTGCTGGATGGACTTAGAGCAGAAAACAGTATCTAGGGAGGGCTGCTAAGGACTCAGGTTGGTGCCTGTATCTGGGAAATGCCCAGAAGCGGCCTGGCCCCAGAGACTAGTCTATACCGGGTGTAAAAAAGACCACTAGGCTCCAAGTCTCTGCTCAGCCAGAGACTAGTTCTGTGATAAATTATCCAGCTGCCACTTGAATTCCCATGAGCAGTGTAGAATTCATGGGATTGCTGTGAGATCACTCATGCCATGCGTCCATTGCAGGGCCTGCACATGGCATGGAGTATCAGCCGGACTTTGAAGAAGGCTGTCAAGAGCTCCTAGGGTGTATGTGCCTTTGATCGTAGCCCAGGACAGCCAGGGCTGAACAGTCAAACTCTGTCTTGAAAAACCCCAAAATTAAGCAAGCAAACAATAAAAAACCCAAAACAAAAGAAAGAAAAGGGGTGTGTGTCTGCACTCCTCGCCCCCAGTCCAGGGTTGTGGTAGAGAAGAGAAGAGTGTGTGAAGTCCAGCCTACCTTGGGCCAACTGCTTTCTAGAGAGGGCTGCTCTACTGAGCGACTATCCTCAGCACTGATCTATTCCCGCTCCTGGCACAGGTCTCATTACATACTGAGTGCCCTCTGGATGATTGGCAGTTCAAGTTAATAAACTTCCAAATGATTGCCTTTGGGAGATGGGGGGTCTCGTGACCTTTTCCAATCCTAAAATGCAGTAGAATTGCTAGCCCCGCCCCTTCAGAAGGTGGAAAAAGTTCTAGGCATCATGAACCAAATGACAAGAGGAAAGGGACAGAGAGTGCTTTTTGGAGCCTGCTTTGGTAAACTTAATAGTGCTAATCTGGACCTTTAAAATGACGCTGTGACCCGACAGAGCAGAAGCCCCTCACTTCAAACACTCAGTCTCTCCTAAAGCCTGACTTTGTTTTGTTTCATTTTAAGACAGGGTCTACAATCTTCAGACTGGCCTTGAACCTGCTGTATAGCTCAGGCTGGCCTCTGAACTCTTCATCTTTGTACGTCTACCTCCAAGGGCTGGAATTACAGTTGTGGACAACCAAGCTCAGCTTGTTCTCGATGGGAAATTCATTTAATAGAGGTTGTTCTTAAACGGTCCCTAGGTCCATCGCCACGGGTTGTAGGATTGATGCCCTGTTACCCTTGGCTGACTGTAGACTGTCTTATACAAGCGGAGCCTCTGTCTGGATCTATCTTCAGGGTCACCCACTGTTGTTTCCTGGTGTCTGGAAGGGTCAGGGAAGCAAAGGCATTCTCTTCTCCTGGCAAATAAATCAGCTTCCTGCTCAAGGGAAATGTTTTCCACAGGCCTTGAAGATTTGGTGTAGTTTCAGATCTCAGGTAAGTTAGCTCCTGGAAAGTAGCGCAGCGGGGCCACAGTGGCTCTGGGACTGTGCAGTGGCTTTGGTGGGTTAAGTCTGCGGCCTCTGTGGCTCCCTGCGCCATTGAAAAGGAAGCAGCAGGTGACGGGAGACTGGGAAGGCAGAGGGCAGGCGTTACTTCATAATCGGGCTCTCTGGGTTGAAATATCGAGGGCTGACTGTACCAGCTGTTCTGTGCTTGATGACCAAGGAATCTAGAGGAGAGCATCAAATCCCCTGGGGTAGATGTGGTGGTTGTGAGCTGCTGTGTGGGTGCTAGGAACAAAGCTGGGTCCTCTGCAAGAGCAGTAAGTATTTTTAAACTGCCGAGCCATCTCTGGTAACTGGAGTTTGATTTTTTTCAAATGGGAAACAAATATTAATAAAATTTCCAGAACAAATACACCCATCGGCGCAATACTTGAGATTGGTCCTGGGTCCTGTCCTGGTATGCCAGCACTCTTCCGCTGGCCACCAAGCCACACTGCAGTCCTCACTCCCTTTTCACAGTGTCACACGTAGCCCTGACTGTCCCGACTGCCCTTGAACTTTCAGCATCGTGCTGCTTTTGCTTTTGTGCTGTGATTGCAAGCTTGTGCCCCCGAGGAGGCCATCTTAGTCCCCTCTTTAAAGAAACATCGTGTATGAACGACTAAGTGCAAGCACGGAGTTTGCTCCCCTCGGTCATACCTTCGGTTATGAGGCGGAATCCAGGTTAGCTGCCTCTTGAGCTTTTGGCTCAGTGTTTCTCAACCTGGGTCGTGACCCTTTCACAGGGGTCACATATCACATGTCCTTCATAACATACTTACATCATGATTCATAACAGTAGCAAAATTACAGTTATGAAGTAGCAACAAGATGATTCTTATGGCTGGGGGTCAGAACAGCATGAGGAAGTGTATTAGAGGGCCACAGCGCTGGGGAGGTTGGGATCCCCTGCTCTAGCCAATTCTGGCTCTGCTAGCTCTTCTCTCACGTGAGACAAAGCCTCACTAAGTGGCACAGATTGGCCTGGGACTTGCAATCCTCCCTCCTGACTCAGCCTCCAGAGTAGCTGGGGTTACAGGCCTGTGCTACCAGTCCCAACCCAAAGCTTTTGAAAACAGTAGTCTGTTGGCCAAAATTTCTCACCTAAAACTCTTATCTGCTTGAGGCTCCGGGGTGGACCGTGCCAGGGACTGTCCAGCAGCCGACATCTAAGCAGGCAGCATTGCTTGTGACCCCCGTGCTATAGAGTCAAATACGAGGAGGCAGAGGATCACACAGAACAGCGAGAACTTAGGCTCTGGTTGCTTCAACAGCACCAGCTATTGGAAGGCTCAGCGCTCAAGGAAATTAATAGGAACTCAGGATAAATGCGTCCTGGTTGACGGTTTCCCTCCCCAGGGACGGAATGTCACAGGTGATGTTGACTCTTCTCGGGGGAGCATCCATGCTCCCCAAAGTCCCATAGGGCTCCCCACATCTTCAGGAAAGAGCTGCCTTGCACTGTTTCTCCAGGGCTGTCACAGGAATGATGGCACTAGTTTAGTTAAAGAGGTTTTTTATTTGGCTTGGGTTTTACTTTTTAAAAGTGTTGTAAAACTGGCTAAATGATAGCAGTTAAAGACAAGCTATTTGATTACTAGAAGTGCACCCATTTCAGTTATGAATGGCCACCTCTCTTAAGAGAATTATTTGGGCATCTTTCAGCTCTAGTTGCTTCCTCTGAGTGAAAATGGTAGCAGTCTCAGCGGCTCCTTACATCTGCATTTCTACAGTTCCAATGGTAGATTATATCTGAGGCAATAATGAGCAGATAGCCTAGTTTGGGGTCCCCAAGTATGAGGGGCCCCCAAACTAGTGAGGCTGGTGGAATCGGACCATTACTGGTCCGATTTCATCCCCCTTCTTGATGCCTCCCCACACCAGGCGCTGGTCCTCAGAGTAAGTCCAGGGAGAATGTACCCTGTCACAATCAAGAACACGGGTTGGCAAGACTTGCCACTGCCCCTCACCTTGAACCTGTTTGGTCTTGGGCTCTTCATAGAAAACTGACACATCCATATAGACCCAGACTGGAAAACGGAACAGTCTGGCAGCCAGTGGCTCGGCACGACAAGGAAAAAACAGCTTTGCTTGGCTTGACTCATCACTTCGGCATCTTTTTAACATCTTAGAAACGGCCAGCTTTTCATTGTTTCTCTTCTGTGCCTTCTCCTTAGCCATTACAGTTTCCTCTGTCTCCTCACCTCCATCTACAGGCTTGCTATTGTTCCCTCAATAAAGTGAAGAAATGGAAGCATTTACTCAGACAATGCTAACTTTGTTCCACTTTCAAAACAAAGTACTGCACCTTTTGTGCGTTTTATATAATTAGTTATGAGATGGTCTCATGGCCTGAAATTGCCTGTGTAGTGGAGGCTTACCTTGAACTCTGGGTGCTTCTTAGTGCCTCTATGCTGGGGTTAAGAGGTTTGTGCCACCAAACCCGGCTTTCGAATAGACAAGCACTACCTCCTGAGAGACACCCCAGCCTAGTTAGCTACATTTTTGTAAATTCTTTTCCTTTAACATTACAAGACCATCCTGAGAAAATTGTAAGTTTATGTGGCACCTCGGCAGTGATGATCTCTCTCTCTCTCTCTGTGGTACGTGCATGTGGGAAGGATACAATGGCTGCTTTGTTCCGTCGTGGAAGCTGGAGAGCAACATTAGGCACCTTTCTTTCTTGTGAGGGAGCAAGCCTATAAAACCACGGTAGCTTTGAGGCGGTATCTCTCAGCTAACCTGAAAGTTATCAGACAGCATGCCTCTGGGATCCGTCTGTTGGCCTCATGCTGGGGTTACACAGAGCATCTGAGCTTTGTGTGGATGCTGAGGTCCTGCAATCAGGTCTTCATCTAGCTGGTACCTCACCAGCTCAACTGTCTCCCCATCTTTGTGCTGCGCATAAGCCAAGCTGTCTCAGACTAAACAACCCAGGGGCAGGGGTCCTGCTTTACAAATGTGCTTACTGAGGAACAGGCAAGTGAATCGGGGCACGCAGAGGCCTCCGGGCTGGCTCCAGTGCACCTCATTTAACCTGAACCCTGCATCTTTTCCTCTC